GGCTTTAGATCACAGAGTTTGCAGTGCAGCCCAACCACTGCAATGACAAGAGCAGTGATCCCCACAGAAAGATTGTCAATCCCTTATATCCAAGAAGATCGTATTTCTAAGAAGGTAACCTGGGTTAAGGAAATTTAATCACCGGTTTCAGTCCTGGGAGCCCTGAGAAGACACTGCGGGCAGGAAGACATTATCTAGCAGAAGCTCTGCACAAAGCAGACAGACTCTCACGTGCAACATACACAGCACAAGCGCCGGAGTAGGAATGACCAACGTGCCACTGGAGTGGCACCAGAAGACGGGCCGGTCTTTTTTAGGACAGAAAGAAAGAGAAGGAAGAAGGCGAAGGAGGAACAGGGGTCTGCAGGAATGAAGGAAGGAGTAGAGGAAGGAAGGATAAAAAGAGGTAAATGAGGAAGAAGAAAGAAAAGAGGGAAATAAGGGAAGAGACAGAAAGAAAATTAGAAATGACAAGGTTGCAGCTTCTTCTTTTTATAATTTTGTTCCATCAGTTTCAGGGACCCTCCCAAAAGAACCACTACAAAACTCCACAATTAAAAACAATACAAATCAACTTATTTTAAACTACAGCAAAATAAATGCAAAATTAATCTTCATTGTTCTCATTTGATTAACACCTTAAATTAACTCAGCTGGAAACTAAAAAGGAAATAAAAAACATGTTTACAACACTGTCAAATACTCAACAGTTATGCATATTTCATCCTCCAATTAGAATAACTCTGCCTGCAGCAATACCACTATGCACTACAGTGTCCTAATGAAACAGACTGAAGCACCCACAGAGATCCTGTACATTTTGATGCTACTTCGGAGTGCAAAAGTATTACAGCTCTCTTTATAGGTTCACTGTGTTAAAGTACTGTAGATGTGCAATTAATTTCAACCAATAGTTTCTATGCAATACAAATCTGCAATAGTAACATTTGTATTGTTGCTAAAAGCACTGTTAAAGACCAATATTCAAGTGAGTATGCTATGCTTTTTAAAGGTCACCCTATATTTTAATTTTATAGAATGCAATTATGTACAACTACACCATTACACTGGTAAAAAAAAAACACTTACAATGATCTCTATATATTAATCTTAAAAGCTCCATATATCAGGAGGGAAAACTGCTGGTCAAGCCAACAATTTTAGCATTCATTTTGCATCTCTTGTACAGTATTAGCAATTCTAATCACTAGCTTATCCGGCATTAAGCTTGCGATGCAGCGTGACAGCCTGTATTAACATAGACAGCATTTGCTACAACCTTTGCTATACCATTAAAGGTGGACATGCAATAAAATTTCTTACCAAACTTCTTTACACAGCTTTGCTGCTTAATTGCACAATTGCACAAGCAGAGAAGTAAAATGCCCACCTATCACACTTAATATAAGATATGGCTTTCATCCAAACATATTAAATCTGCACCCAGGCGACTTTCTAATCTGAACTGATTTAGACACAAGACCCATAATAGCCAATAGTCTCTCACCTGATTGGCAGATGGCTTCCCAAACTGTGCTTCTATTCCTTCGTGGTTGTGTAACTGAGTGGCTAAACCACACAGACTGCAAACCCTACCCAGCCACGAATATCGCACCCCAGCTACCTCAGCAGCTCCCAAAGATCAGGGCTCCCCAGGCAGCAAGGCAACTCTGAAAGTTGCTGAAGGGTAAGTGGGTCTGAGCCCTGCAACTGCGACCCATCCAGCTACCCAGACAGGTTTGGGCTTGCAATTGCAGGCATTTTTCCTCACTCCTATGTCACAGAGCTGTCATTTTGCATTAATTTGAGATATGATTTTGAGGATCCAAATGTTTTATCTCGAGTGATTTCCTGAAAAGGGAGCTCCCACCCACACAAGGTGGAGACCCCCAAAGCACTCTCCTCTCCTCGGAGTCCAGGAATCAGGCCAGTTTTGTGTCTCTGCTTAAACCACCAACAGCTTGAGTCCGTGGCGGAGAGAGAAACAAGTGCAGTTAAACGTTAATTGGATCGATTTAGCACCCTCCCAGGTGCTGGGCTGCTCGTAACTTAGAGAGACTAGAAAATCCAGTAATAATCCAGACAGTCATTTACCAGGGTTGGGAACCCCCTGCACACAGATCTCTCGTGTCATTTTTTAATTAACATCCACAACTCCTGGTGCCTGTTACCAGTTATGTATTCCATTGTCCTGTGTGGACAATATTTCCCCTTCATTGGCACGTCAAGCTAGTTTTCAGTTATGATCCTCTCACACCAGGAGCAGAAAAGACCGCAAGAGCGCCCGTTAACGAGGAGATCAATCAGGGCCTCTCGCTCAGTAACAGGTCCCTCACAAGAGAAGCGAGGACGTACAGTACCTAGGACAGAGGTTCCCAAGCCTGGTCCTGGAGGAACACTGGCTCTTCCAGTCTCTGCTCCAGCCGAGTACTTCATTGCAGGCTAATTGATTTCAGATTTCTATTCTTGCCATAGCGGGCAAATTTGCTTTCAGCTCTTAAAAGGTCAAATGGGATTTGCAGTCAGCACCAAACCCGCAGGAATTTCGGAGTTTCACAACAGCCCTCATTCACGTTTACAAGTGTCTCGCTTCAAATTTAAGTAACTCACTGGATCGGCGGAAGGAGAGGAAAAAAAAAAGCTCATTTTCTCATTGTGGGTGCATCCGATACAGGGTCACCATGCTGTACCTTCACCGCCGAGAAAACCAGCAAGCCGAAGAGAGGCCAAGCAACGTCCCGCGCGCCCAGGTTGCTGGAAACCTCCAAGGTGGAAATTTCCGACACTCAGGACTGACCAAAGACAGGTCACATAAAGAACAAGCAAGCAGAGCACTTCAGTCACTAACGAGCACTGCAGGTAAGCAGCTCAGGTGGAATGAAACCCGGCAGACGCCGTGTCCCACCACAAACAGGGATGGGCACCACCGGCCTGGACACGGCGGGCGTCTGGAAGGAGGAGGATTTTCATCTTCATGTTTGTTACAACATTTGTGGGGGGAGGGGAAATAAGTAGGAAACGTAGCAATCTTTTTTGCGAACCCGTTATTTTTATTTAAACACCTTAAATCGGAGATTCTCCAACCTGGCCCGGGTGACCCCCGCATCTGATGGTTTTCCGACCCCGTTGAGCCCCCCCCAAATTATTTTATCAACCCCCTTCTATCGAAGCAATACTGTGATTCATCTGAACGGCAAAGTCCTTTTCAGATCCTAAACGGTGATAGAGATTTCACGGCGGTCAGCTGCTGACATTTTAGAGCTAGGGAGCAGAAACCCAGCGGCGACCTTGGCGACCGCAGGGGTTAATGACGCTGGCGGCCCGTGTAATGACAACGACCGCCGGAGGGCCGAGCTGGAGCAGAAACCAGCCACACCAGGAGTCCCAGCCCCCAGGACTGGGCAGTGCACCTGCTCCAAGCCGGAGAGAGGGAGGACTGCGGCTCGGCCCCATCCCGTTCACTGGGAATGGACGAGGGGCGCCGGAACCCCGAAACGATGTCCGGACCCCCATCCCAGCCCCCGCCCTGCCCTGGCCCCCCTCTCCCCATGGATTCCTCCGGACGCTACCCCGCCCGAAGCAGACACAGGCCAGCCTGGCAATGACCTGGGGACATCTGCAGCAGGGGTGGACAGCTGCCCCCTCATGCCCCAGGTGCACCTCCTGCGCTGCTCAGAGTTGCAGGAGAGGAAAGTCACCACCATGCATGAGCAACGGAGCTCCGTCGGCGCAGACTCCCAGCCCCCCCAGGAGGGCACCTAACAGAGATCAAGGCGACCAGACAAAAGGTCGCACGGTCAGCCTGGAGCGCTCTGAAGCAGGACCGTCTGTCAGAGGGGGGCCGGACGATGATCACACGGCAAGGCGCAGTGGGTGGAAGAGGCAGGCACAAACCGGAGCTGGGGCTGCAGCCCGCAGCAGCGAACGGGGGGGGGGGTGTGATAACAGGAGGATTGCAAGTAATGTCAAGGATTTTAAATAATTCACCACCGGCACCGAGCCTTCCAGTCCCCCAGAGGGACGCGAGTGTGTGTGTGTCGGTCCTGTCCAACACCCTCGGGCTATGGAGCAGGACGCTGTATTTATTTTTTTGCGTCAGCTCAAACGATGATGAGGATCTCGGAAAGAAGGGATTTTTACGGCAAAGGCCGCTCTCCGCTCGAACAGGCGAGCCCAGGGTGAGCAGCGGAGCCCCTCCGTCACCCCAGTCCTGTCCAGCCCCGTACAAAGCGCACAGAGCACCGGAGGGTCTCCTGTGCGCAGGAGGGGGGGTGCTCATAGTCTTCCTGCTTTCGGGAAGCCAATAAACTCACATTTAAAAACCAACAACGGGAGAAAGCACCCTCACAGCGTCCTGCGCATCGCTGACTGCCACAATAAAAGTGGAAGAAACACAGTCGCGCTGCCGCAGGGTCCGGGAGAGTGTTGCAGCGCCTAACAGGCGTTGACTTTTATTGCTCTTGTCTGCGTTTTGATTCCTGTCCCTTCCCCGCTCCGGGGGGCGGACGTGCCCCGGCTCCCCGGGGTTAGGGTACAGGCAGTTACAGGGGGGTACAGCCCTGTCTTGTGAACCCGCCCGACTATGAAACGATCCCGTCTCGGCTGCCTGTAGTTTGTGACCTGACGGAGGGACACAGCCGTGTTGCCAGTGTCACCGCCAGCGCAACTCTTCCGCTTCGCCCAAGTTACAGGAGCACACAGGGGGCTAATGACTCGTACTCTACAGTTCTGTATCCCTTAGACCTGCGTTTTAAACTAACGAGCTCGGCAAGCGAGATTTGAAAACACATCTTCCGGACTGGATATGTTTTGAATGACGTCCCGTGTTACAATCGCCGGAACCCCCATTCTCTTCCTGCTCTCAAGTGTTTTTTTTATATATATGTATTCTCGCATGGCGGACGTTGCGAAAACATTCCTACGGCGGCGGTCCGTAATTTTTCTTTTCCCCTTTTAAACCCTCCACCCCAACAAAAAAGATGCCAGAGAATTCCACTCACCCGGGCCGCCATCTTCGTGTTTGTTGTCGCTCGGAGAGGCGAAGCGGAGTGAAACTGTCTCGGCTCTGTCAGCGCAGGACGGGGCCGCGGGGCCGCGCATGGACGCCGGCTCGTGAGGGGGCCGGCGGGGGCGCGCACGCAAGCATGAGACCCGCTACGTCATCACTCCCTACAAACGAGGTGGCGTGCTGCGTTGTGTAAAAGTCAATCCTACTGAGCGGATATGACTGGTTGTGAAATTATTTGAATGGTGATTTATATTTTTAATTGTCATCTGCAGTACCTCGGGAAGACATGTCTAAATGACATCGGCTGAATTGCACAGTATTATTACATACTAAGAAATCAACTACCATCAATTTTCTGCATAATATTTCAATCACTCGCTGTTTTATGGTTTTATGCATCGCCCGATTATAAACACTATGCATATGAAACTGTACACGTGGTACGTGTGGCGTGTCCGACTCCGTTTGCGCTCATGCTGTGCCGCTTCTGAATCTTCTCCATAAGAAATGGTTGCCATAACGTAACTCCAGAGGCAGACGAGCAGAACATTACATTGGTGTTGTACAGTAATTAGATGTTCGGTTTAAATAGAAAAAAAGAGCTTTTTTTTAGTAGTGCAGAGGTGAAAGAGTTCCCCCATGCGGTTTGATTGTGGAACTGCAGGTAAGATCGCACTCCGGGCCGGTCAGGTGTTCCATGCTGGGGTACAAGTGATGATAATCTCACAATGCCAAGCAATTACTGACACTAGCGTGTCCTTATGTCATTTTCAAAATATCATACACGAAGTATGTAAATAGTTTGTATCAAAATAAAGGAGCGATACAGTAATGAGGTTTCGGACACGTGTTGTGCACTAGCAAGGCGTAGCGTAGGTCAAGTAGTCGGGCTCCTCAAAGTTTGACTCACGGGCAGGAGTCATCAATATTCAACCAGCCGGCACATTTTAAAATATCGCCCGTGCATGACAGACGTAAAAAACGGATTTAATGCATTACGTGGCGAAATGGTTCAGGTTATCATTAAGAATGAGGCGTAAAAGATCTTCGGAAGCATTTGTCGACTACAGAAAGGCTCTAGCGCTTGTGCAATATGGCGCATATACCTGTAGCTAGTTGCAAAAGGAGGTAGAGACCGCACGTTTCCAACCGCCTGTGATTTCTTCACTAACCTACAAGAAAGAGACATCTTCAGAAACTGGAAACTGCTGTTGAATACCAAACACACTCCCAGGAGTGGGCTCTCCAAATAGATAATACTTTACTAATCCCGTAGGGAAATTGATGGAATTGATGAAGTATCTCCTCCCAAAAGGTTTTGTTGGTAAAAGTTCCTGTTTAAGTACAAATTTGTTTGAATATCATGTAAGAAATTACCTGGTTGTCTTGAAAGGGGCGTATTCTCTTGCTGTTAACATGCATATACTGGATCCAGGTACAGTATGCTTTAGTTTTACTTGAAATGGCTGCTGTATGGTGGAACTTCGTTTACAAATACAGCATAAAAATAGAAATTGATCATTTCTTTGTGGTTCCAAGTCTTCATGTCCTCTCATTTCTCATTCATCTCTCGGAAGGTTTCGTCAGACTAACTTGAAAAGAAAGACAAAAAAGTCACCCCTTTTTTTTTGAAAAAAAGTTTATTTGAACTCATCTGAACATCAGAGATACTCAGTTATTGTTGGGTCAGCAAGAACCGTTTGTACATTTGATATTGATGGCATTAGAAACTCAAAACAAGCGATCATACCATTTTTTTTCTTTTTTTGGTTTGGGGGGTGTGTGTGGCTGGGCTGAGGGTATCATACAAACTGGAGAATAGGACAGAAACGGAAAGGTTTTTTTTTTTTAAAAAAGGAAAGAATTCTGAAAGCAAATCTGTCGACAGAGGGATGTTATGAACAGGGAAAGGGAAAGTTACAAAGAACTCAAACTGCAAATGTCCCGACGACCGCTTATTAAAAACCCGAGGTGAACTCTTGTCGCAAAATAACACACGGAGGACAGCAGGGCCCGAACGACACAGCGACCAAGCAGGGGAGAAATATGAAGACAAGGGATGAAAGGCGCTCGAGTTCAGAATTTACAACTGCCTGAAGTTTCCAGCGAATGTGAGCTCCCACCATCTCGTGTCCCTTCTTTAAGTTTCCAGAAGGGGGGAAGAGAGTTAAAAAAATATATTGAAACAAGTTTCTACCAGGCTCTAACCCGCTTGTTTCTGCTACCACCGCCACCCAGAACTGGCGTGATTCCTGCAGGATCGCGCTCCTGGCAAAGGGACTATGTTCGGCCTCCAGTTAACCCAGGAGACCAGCAGGACACATACTGCTGCCAACCCAGGCATGGTCTTAATGCTATATGAAAACAACCAGGAGCCTCGCCCATTTACCTCTGGCAGCATTTCCTTCTGTCCTTGCCCCTAACACTTTGGTTTTCCTAGGAGAGCAAATTAACCCAGAGCGCAGAAAAATTAAAAGATCTCCCAGATAGTGGTTCAGGAGACATCAGTGGCTGGAGACATCTGTAATAATTTAGCTTATGTTATATTAAAAGGGGGGATTTTAGGTTGTAATATTCTTTTTTCTTCTCCAGCTACAAATCATGTTCCTGGCTTGTGCATCGCTGCAGTCTGGCCAGTGAGAGCTTCATCCTGGCTCAGGTCTGATCAGTAACAGCAGGGGAGTGACTGTGCTGCAAGAGGACCATCTGTCCACTGGACAAACAGAATCAGGAAGGGGCTTTAGCGATCTAACAACACGGACCAACAGAGAATTTCAAGAATGTTCTCCGACAGTGGAATTTCCGCCACAAATGTTTTTTTTTAAAAGGAAACACAATCTTAACATACTGTATATACGTGAAAAATAGTTAAAAATGCATTCTTGGGTATTGAATTTCTACCCTCGGGAAGAGTTCCGAAATCCACAGTTCCCCGTTTTGCAACATTAAAAAAATCCCATCCGTTTGTAAAAAACAATGAAAATTACACTTGTGTGGAACATCCTTGAAAAAACAAAAAGAGCAGGTCCGGTGTGTATCCCTTCATGACAATAACACAACTCTGCAGACACAGCTCCCTGCAAAGGGACACCTTGACCTCAATGAAATTAGCCAAATCTCTAACTGGAGTAAAAGAGAAGGGACCGTATGAGGGAAAAGCAATAAATAAAATTTGACTTGAGAATGAAATAGACCCTGTGTTTCTCACTCCAACCCAATCTGGCTGAAACAAAACAGGTCATACCCACTGCAACTTTCAGAGTCTGAATGCTATTGCTTCACATCTAAGCCGACAGAGTGAGCAATCCTAGATAAATGCTGATTCTTCAGTATAGAGTACTTTCAAGCAATGGTTTGGATAACGTTTAAATGCTCGTTTTAAAAACCCACATGCACATAAAAAAAATTGCCATGATCCCTTTGGAGTTCTATTCAGATAAACCATGCAAAAATGGTGCACCACACCCCACACATCATGTCCACTATTCCTTACACAAACCTAACCCTAACCCAATCCATGGAATTGAAAAGCTCCTGAAGCTCAGAGGTGTGGACGATTAAAACCCGCTCCTCTGACAAAGGGTCAGATGTTCCAGATGAAACCACCCTCATCCCATGCTTTGTTCCCTGGAGGCTGATCCACAAGAACAGATGCTCCGGCAGCTCAGAACACAAGAGCAAGTCCTAGACTTCCAAAGGACTTTTCAACATGCATTTCAAAAAGAATAAAGAGTAAAAAGAATTGACGCCACTCTTCAAGACTTTTTTTTTTTTATAAGGGTGAGAGAAGCGTCATTAATCTTAAGAACTATGAAAACAACCAATAGGCATGAAGTTGTTTGCATCTCAACGTGTTCTTAGACTTATCTCAGTTGTGGAAAGGTGCCTTTCTCAGAGTATAAAGTACCTGAAGATTCTTGTAGCTTTTGACCTTGTGCTGCCACGTCACAGTAAAGCCCCTCTCCTCAGCTGATCAAGATCTCTACAGATTGTTACTGCAGGTAAAACCCCAGAGAATATATTTAAGGTAGTAATGAAAGCCTGCAAAAGCAGTTTTGGCAACACAACACCAATACCTACCCAGTGTGCACGGTCACCTGTCTCTCAGCTTGCACTGCTGAGACCTTGCCCTCCTCTTCACATTGCGAAGAGGAATTGGATCGATATTGATGTGGGGGTGGCAGTAGAGGTGGCATTTTCTATAACTCCAGTCACTTGAGTTATAGTGCAGTCAGTTATGCATTGAACTTTTCCACATAACTGACTGGATGGAATCAAAATATACTTTTCAGCAGTGAGCTTGATCTTCCATCGCTCAGATCAAAGGTCCCCCTCACCTGCTTAATCCCAGACTTTAAGTTTTCCCTTCCCAAGAGGAAATGGCCTGCCCTGGGCCATATAAACCCCTTGAGCTCTGAACAGCCACGTTTCCAAGTCACATTCTAAAGCTGAGACATGCTAGTCTATCTATCAGACTGCAGAATTTGACTCAACTGAAGGAAAGAGGAGTCCCTTTATTCCAAGCTGTATTGTCTGCACACGAGCAAGATTGTAAATAATACTAAATCCTTCAAGATTCGTGGACAAACTGAATGGCTGCTAGCAGGTGTGAAAAATCTCGTGCTAACTTAGCAGAGACCGGATGCTGAGCTCATTAATGAGAGGTCTACGTTTCAGACATTCCTTTGAGATTTCTCTCGTCACTTTTGGGAACTATACTAGATGAAAGGCAGAACACACCCATTTTTCTAATTGCATTCCCTTTAAAAGCAGGACCCCAATCCCCCACTTCACAAACAAGCACCCACACAATCATTCTCCATCTTGAAAGACACAGGGGCAAGAGAACCCACTGAAAACTGCATTCATTCTGTATACCGTCCAAGAGGCAGAGGAGAGTCATAAAAATAGAAAACATTTATTTGAACTGAATTTTGTTTCCTTTTGTTAAAGAAAAGCAAAATAAAACCATAAAAATACAGAGTTTGGCTAATAAAGTACTGTATTGTAGTTTGTGAACCATCACTGCAGGCAGAGTTGAGTTGGAGAGCCCCACTATTTTAAACCTCCCCCCTCCCCCCACACACACACTGCCCTGTTCCATCCTCTGTAGGACTAGGTAATGGCAAGACTAGAGTGTCACCAGATCTACGGGGACATTCACCGGGGACATCTGCAAAACAGAGGAGGGCTAGGTGGACACTGTCCTTTTGGGAGACTAAATTTAACAATCCCCCAACTGAAGAAAATAGGGTGGCGTTGTTACAGGTACTTCACCCTGCTTTCCAAAAACACTCGTCTTTACAGGACTTGGTTGGATTCAGATATTTGTTTTTATAAAAGTGGACCTGGTAGCAGAAGGGACTGACAACAACACTTGGCGGGGTTAACACCATGAAGTACATGACGGCCTGGGGTAATTTCTGATCTGCTGCCCTGCTCCATTTTATTATTAGAAGCCGTTACCTCTTTAGCCTAAAAGAGGGATCTCCAATCCTAGACCAGGAGGGTCAGCATGTCTGCTTGTTTTTGTTCCATCTCAGTTCTTAACGGTACTAGTCAGCTTTGTACTGGCTTCATTGGACCAGTTTATCAACACCTCCCAGCTCTCCGGGAGCTAGTGATTTTAAAGAGAGCTGGAAAACCCGCAGACACACCAGTTCTCCAGGACGAGGTCTGGAGACGCCTGGCTTCAACCAGCCGTGCACGGAAGTTACAACCGAGAGTACACAGCGGGATTCTGACAGGACAGAGGGAAGTAGGCGTACAAATTTCGCAACTTTGCAAACGTCTCTACAAGACGAGCATCTTCCCCTGCGTGCCTTTGACAAAGTCCCCAGACCAGTACTGGTGGGTCACAAGACAGCTTTAACCCTAGAGGGGCAACAGAGTACACTCTTTAGGCAGTGTAATCCTAACGGTTTTATTATCTCGGAGGTTTATATGTATATATATTTATAATGTATATGTTTATCGTTATTTTACAATATTCCCTGATAGCCGGCTGGGGCCGCTGAGTGTTTATACAGACACCTGAAAAGGAGAAAAACAAAAAGGTGACGATGATGATGGCGATGAAGAAAGGAGTTCGAGAAGTTTCGTCCGTTGAGGGAGACGTTAAAAACTTTCGGAGTGAAAGCAGAAGGAAACAGAGGAATCCTGTCGCAGTTTTTTGTTTTTTAGTTTTGTATTTTGTTTAAGCTCTCCCCTCCCCCCAAAATGTTCCGCTCGCTGGTCTCACACATTCTCCACGTACTGCAGCCTGGACTTCTGTGGACAGGAGGAGACAACAGTGTTCGCTTTAGACCAGGGAGGTTCTCGACAACCCCGGCGCTGGGGACCCCTTTTCACATCACCACGTTCAACGGGGAACCCCAATATACAACAGCATTCAAAACACCAATCTACATCATCATCAGAGGCAGTAACATTTCAGTAATTGCAGCAAACAAGATAAGTTATTATGAGACACATAATCAGACAGATCATTATTATTAAGCACTGAATCCACAGAAGAATTTAATGGTCAAGCAGCTACATTATATTAACGGCGACTCTAAAGAAGAAATAGATTTTCATGTAAAAAATCGGTCAAGAGCAATCAAGGAAACTGCTCACTCTGTACAACTGATGGTTTTAGAATAGCCTTTTTTGTGCCCGAGCCGAATTTGCTCTTTATTTACTGAAAGGGATCACAGCCATGCAAAGATGCTAGGCAAGGTGGAGAAAACGCAATTGTAGAAAGGATCAATAAAATGCAAAATGGAATATAATTTGAGGACTCAAAAAGAGCTCATTTTCAAGGAGAGAAAAGGTGTAAATTCCGTAGAGAAGGCACAACTCTTTGCCAGCTGACCCTTGTGTCTCTCCGGACTCCCAGAGAATGGACGATGTAGATCACAGCCCAGTAAGTAGGTTAGGGCAGGGGGGGGGCTACAGTTGCTCCCTTGACTTAATTTTATCAGGTGCTATTAAACAGCTAATGAGGCTGACCCATTTTAAACTCCATTGTACAGCAATGATCAGCAGAGTAATTTAACACTAAGTTAAGCCAATTCTTAAAAGCCAATGACTTCTTTATGTCTGTGATCACTGCAGTGACTCCAGTACTGCTTTGCACTGTCCACTTGTCAAAGCTATTCATCTCTTTGACATGCTGTCTGCTCCACAGCGCCTCCCAGCAGCGTTAGAGCCAACGGGAGGGGCAGGACATCTCTTCACGGACGTCACTGCAACCCTGCGGGAGCTCAAGATCAACCCTACAGGGCGGTGTGGTGGCTCTGTGGCTCAGGATCTGCACCTGTGACTGGAAACTTGCCGGTTCAAATCCCGCGGCCGGCAGAGGAATCCTACTCCGTTGGGCCCCTGAGCAAGGCCCTTAACCCCAACTGCTCCAGGGGCGCCGTATAAATGGCTGACCCTGCGCT